ATGCGATAACTTGAAAGTTATATCTCGCTTATATCGAAGTGACATTTCCTCTCGTTTATCTTGAAGTTTTGTTCGTCGAGTCTCTGAAGGAATCTACTTACTAGCATATTTAGCATCAGTCTTTGAAATGGTGACTATGTCATCAATGTAGATTTTTACGTTAGGCATGCCTGCAAATATTTTCTCCGCTACTTGTTGGAAGAATGCTGGTAAGGAGTGCAACCCTATATTGTTTACCTTTCCAGGTAAAACTAAAGTACTTACGATGGGGTTCATAAATTTGCATTTGATGATCCCCTGTGTTAGGTCTATGGATGTAAACACCGTAACTCGTTTATACGAGGGAAATGGAAACTATGAGTCTGCAATAATTTATTTATTGGGCTCATATCTAGACATACTCTGACTTTCGTAAATGTTCCATCAGAGTTGTGTTGATCAACTGCCAATAATACTAAGTTAACTGGCGTTTGTTGGTAATTGATTTCGATTACCCCATCGGATAACCATTTCTCGACTTGTTCTTTAACTACAGCTTCGTGTCTCTAAGAAACATAGTTTCTTGAAGGACATTTGAGCTTAGTAAATTCTACCTTGATTAAGTCAAGGCTGACGTATCCGTCGTTGAAGAGAAATTTCGCCCAGTCGGTTAATTTTATCTTCTTATTTACTAATATATGATCCATTATCTTATCGGCAAAGCCAGGAATTAATTCTTTGACTGTGTCCGATGGTGGTGTATATGGTTTTAGACAATTATCGTCTGACTGATCCTTGAATGGATCTATGTTGTTGGGTAAGCATGTTACGGTTATCACTAACGTGAGCAAATCGCTCATTCCGACTATAGTGTCGTACTTCTGTGACATCTTAACGATCACAGCTTGAGTCGTGATATTTCTATCATCGGCCAGGGAGATTTTATCATTTGTGGCCATGGTATCACACTTAGAAGTTTTATCATCTGCTAAAATTAGGTGAGTGGTTTGAGTTCGCCTTTCAATGTCTTTCATCAATGCAAAGTGGTCGGATATGCATGAAATTTCTGAACCAGGATCAATCAATGCAAGGGCTTTATTTCCGTTGCAATATACAGGGATTATTTCACGCTCATCTAAGGAGTCGTTGTATCTTCTTTGTATCGATTGTACCTGGTAGTACTTTCACTCCAACTTAATGTCGGGCTTCGTGTCGCAAGACTTATCGTGATAGCCATTGGTCTTCTCACACTTGTCACACTTAGTAAGAAAGTGTGTACAGATGGGTGCATGTCTTCCGTTCCAATAACCGTTAGGGGTCAATTGGTACATGTCATACCCACACTGTGCGTCGGCACTTTTCTTAATATCCTTAAATGGAAGTTCCTTGTCCTTCGCCTCTGCGCGTGCCCGTTTATCGGGTCGCGTTGATTAAGTAGAGTCGCGAGCTCGTGTCTAATTAGGACGCGTCTGATGAGGCTTATCATATGATGTCTGGCGTGAGAGGTATCCTTGATCAGGGAGCTCGCACGGTGTCTTATTTACCGCCTTTCCCTACGAGGTTACTCGGTGTGCGGGGAAAAGGTGGATACAGTGTCATAAAACTGTTCCCACGTAAGTCGGGATAGATGAAACTTTGTTTCATGTCCCTTGTCTCGAGCCTCAGTTGCGTACTTACGTCGCAACTCGGTGTAAAGACTTGTTCCCTGTGTTCTGACAGAAAACATGCATAACCAGGAACTCGTACCATCGCTGAGCATTGTCCTTTGTTATATCTGGACGTTTAAGGTCAGCATCAAGTTTCAGAATGTAACTCCGAATAGGAGTATTCTCAACTGGTTCATTTAAGATTGAACTCAGTCCTGGACTGCGCATGTCCTTGCTTAATAAGGACGTAACCAATCAACACACAGCTGGCCAGTCACGACAAGTGTCTAGTTCATGCTGGTGTCGCTGCAGGATCAAGTGACTTGTTCCTGTAGGGTCAAACAACTGCATTAAAGCAGAAATTCATTGCTGGGGAGCGATAGCATTCGTCTCCAGCATGACCGTAAACACATTAAGCGTACGGGTTAGCGTGTCGAGGTCATGGTTGTTTATAAAAGCGACCTACTTGGCATCCCAGTTTGACTTAAGTCGACTGATCTGTCCCGTGTACTTCTGGTTATCCCGGTGGTCTTGTCCACGTTGGGCCTGAAGTAGCTGATCGATACGTTTCTGCTTGATCGCGATCATATTAGCAAAATATGATATGTCCTCGGCATGGTGCTCGCCATGGGCGATTTCCATCTTAATGGTGTAATCGTCGACCGATTTATTAAGTTCGGTCACCTCGTCAGAGTGAAAATCCTCCCGGGTTGGTGTAAGGCGGTGCGATCGAAGCGAGTAAATTCGACATCGTTAAAACGTTTACGGAAGTGTTTATTACCCCGTGTAAAGTTCATGGTCGAGGCCTTTCGGTGCTCTGTTCCTTGGATAGTTGTTGGTATTATGATCTTAACTGGTTTCCGACGATTGTCATCCCAGTTGGGTAAAGGTGGCGGAGTGTTTCTACCTGCCCCTGGGTCTATAATACCCTCATGGACAGGCGACTCATGTCCGGGTGTTAGAACAGGCGAATAATTAGCCTGGAGTTCTGGTGGTAGTACCTCGTAAGATATAGATACGCTGAGCACATTTGGGTCATCTGCCACAGGTTTGGCGCTCAGGTCCTTACGCTTTTCGGGCGTAATTGCCAGCCGACGTTCTGCCCACTTCTGTAAGGTTTCAGTAGTGCCCGGAGAAACATGCTCGCGTAAGTGATCTGCGTTTTTTCCTGATCCATACATTCGATCTACATGTTCAACAGTCATGCCTTTCATAGGGATGGCTAACTGATTCTTAAGATCAGTGTTTTCAGTAGTTAACTTACTTATGCGCATTGGCTCAGTGGTCTCGGACGTAGATTCGGGTTTGCCACTTGAGCTTGCCTCCTCTTCTGGTTCCGGTATAGTTACCTTCTGAGACTCGTCTTTGTCCCCTATAATTGGGGACTTTTCTTTCTGAGTTTCGTCAGAAGAATTGGGTGGGGCGTCTTGAGACGTGTCCCTTGTCTCACTTCTTGGCTTCGTAAGTGAGAGCTTCGAAGCTGAGGCAATAGTTGGCTCTCGGGCTCTATCTGTAGGAGTAGTCTCTTTAATCGGAGTGGCTACATCCTTATCCGAAGCATTGTCCTGACTATTATTGTCGGAGACAAGTGCCTCGGCTACGGTGCGGTTAAACGCATCGGCAAACCCGACAAACCTCTTTAGACAGTGATCGTCTCTTGTGGAGAATATAATTGAATACACATGGCTCCCGTCGCACCTTATTGCTATAGTAACATACACGGCCTACAGCTATAGACGAAAAAGTAAACCTCGATTCCCGTAGTATTCAGTTAAACACCAAAAACTATATGTCTATTTACACCTCAAGCTTTCGCGCAGTCACTGTCTGTAACACACATATCCTTCCACGGTCTACATACACAAACATACGTGATGGATAAATTCAGTATATTCATCTTTGATCTACTTGATACCTACATTCACCCAGTGTCTTCGCAAAAGCATAATGACAGGATGAAAGTATTGGTACGTGCTACCAAGACATTACAAAAAAATCACTTAGTGCTTACCTACACCACTAGTAGTGGGAGATGGTGCCAGGCTCTGTTGCCAACTATAAATAAACACACTCGATTGTAGTTGATAACAATTTCTATACCCTTGAGTCGGGGGTTATGTAATCTATTCCCATCACACGGATGTAACTGTTAAAGCCATTCTCGGCAAAGCCCTTGGAGCGCCAAACCCACGGTATCTATGCAGCAGAAATGATCAGTACGCAATGAGCAGCTACTGTAGTAGCAAAAGAAAAAATCAGCAAAGTACCGAATTGATGCACCAACGATCCAGATTTGGCACGAGATATACTATGCACCTATGATAGTCTCTGTGCATAAGTTGATAAAATTGGTAGGGCCAGCTATCTTTATTAATGAGTATCGAGTGCAGGTTAAAGGTATCAATGTATTGGCCGTACTAAACGACATCCGATGATAAGGCCACGGAACGCAGGCGATAAGAAGCATTATTTTGGAACGTGTATTGGTGCATCACGATGTATTGGTGTATCACTAGAATAGGATCTGCACAAAACAGGTCATGTGTGATCTTTCATATTTACGCTTGTTGATGAGGCACGCTCCTTTTCAGAAGCTGATGAGGGGAGGCAGGGAGGGCAGGAGGAAGAGGAGTAGGAGGAGGAGGGGGGTTAACTACAGTAGCAATATATAGTGCATTAGGACCTGGACTCATAGGACCATCGCTGCTCTGCACCGACTGAACTAGGCAGGACTGATGGTATAGTTTTGGACATATTACACACATGGTACTCCGCTATTGCCCTCCTGTAATAATCAGAACCATATATAATTAGACAGCTGACTGCTGGTCCAGACTTTGTACACTGGTCTTAGTACATGTGATACAACATCCAGCTTAGTTTACATATAGCAATTGTCGTTTGCACACTTTGCCGGAGTCGTTCGTCCTGATGATCCAACTGATAAGGATCTCTAGAATTTAAAACGTGTGGGAGAATCCCGCCTAAATAAAAATTTGCCCTCATTCACATTGTCAAATGTCATATCAGTTTTAAAAAAAAAGCTCGGCCCCCTTATGTGGAGAAAAAAGGGTCTATTTTCGCCTCTATTTTTTTTTTGAATCACCTATTTGGGCTGTATTTACTATATGAAATCAAACGGGATATTCAAAAAAAAGTAAAATCAGTCCATAGGTGTTTATAGAATATTGCACCCTCATCAAACATACAGGGCCACACCAAAGTAAAAGTTGAGCTTAAACGTTTACTACGTTCTAACAAAAAACGGAATGAGAGTTGTGTAGAACCCATGTGTAAAAATATTGGCACGCCTTCAGACTGTTGAATTCCAACATTATATTGTGTAGTGTTGGACCCAGCGGCAGTTAAACGAGTACTGCTTGTAACCAGTTCAAGTATATTCAAGAGGTATACACCATGGCGAACGCTAGTAAAGCTACGCAGAATGCGGGGAAAGTTGAAGCGGCCGACGGTGGCAGCGACTCAGAACCCGACATGCCATCGCATAGCAGTAGTAGTGCGTCGCACACCGGTGCAAGGAAGCGCAAGGATCCCCCCAGTACTGCAGGCAACACACACAGTAGCAGTAGTAAGAAGCAAGCCATGGAAGGTGGGGCGAAGGGGAAAGGCAAAGAGAAGGCTTATGTGCAGCCCATTGAAGACCTGCCGGAGGGCACAGAGGTGATGGATTTCAACTTCGAGGTTAACTCAATTAAGGAACAGGATTTCCACGGTATCAAGAATCTGCTGAAACAGCTGTTTTGGAGGGTATGTGAGATAACTTGGCTATGTGTGTATCGATTCGGCTACCGTTATTAAGGTTAAGTATATGCGTGGGCTTATTTGACACGTATTAACTAGTCGCCGTTTTTGTGTATGCGTGAATCGTCAGGAAGCAACTGAAATCGAATGCTTATCCGCGTGTGTTCACAATTTCATCCCTGTGTGCTTCACTGTAATTGAAATTATCATTAGGCGTATTTTCTCCTACCACAACTGTTGATACGTCGTATATCCCAGCTCTACTATAGGTATCATTGTTAAACCACATGTACTTAATGCGTGTTTGAGTATAACTTTTACGAGTCTGCGTTTGTGGGAGTACGCCTATCAGCCAGGTCTCTTGCGTCGCGTATGTGTATGTTCATCATAAAACGTTTAGGGCGTTTTCAAAATGTACATTCCCGCGTATTATCGTGTACATTTGTAGGGATTGAGTGGGTAGCATCCACTAATAGCTCGTAGAAATTCTGTATACAACGAGTTGCGGCATATATATGAGTGTCTAACTGCTGTACGCTCGTTTCGGAAGTATGTATTTTCGTAGTCTTGTCTCTTTATTCTGCTGAGTGCACTGAATATATGTCGATGACTTGTAACATGTGATTTTGTGTTTTTTTCCTTCGTTTTATAGTGTACGGTTCTTACTCGACTAATGCGGGCGTTTCTATGTGCCCGCTTGATTCATATTGTACTCGCTTCTCCCGATATTTATTATTCAAATGTTAGCATACTTCCAGTATGGTACGTTCGATTTGTATGATGTATTTGCATTACGTTGCAACATTTGTATCATGTGCACTAAATATACACATTGTCAATTCAATTCGCGGTTCGTTAGCAGGGAATTGCACTAGTATTGCAAGATGTCAGCTTTGTTTATGCTGACATGTATTACAACTAAGTAGATTTGTATCCACGTGGCAATCGTAGATATGGTCATTGCCTGTTGATAGGCAGTATAGCGAGATTGATTCTTTTCAAGTAGCGATGGATTAGGAATTCGTTCTTTTTGTTCGTTACTTGTGTTATTTCCAATTTCGTATCAAATGTTCAATGTTTGTGTTTTATTCTCGTAAAAAGCTATATCCTCTATATTCCATTCCAAAAAAAAGCAATTCTGAACACTCCTTTCTTGAAACACTTCAAATATATTTTGCAGGATATGAATGTTCACCTCTCCGAGCTGGCCGATATAATTGTATCCCAATGGGAGGATGTAGGCAGCACAATTACAATTGCAGACTCTGAGGGGGTTTATGGTATCATCTCAGTCATCAATATCCATCTGCACAGCGTAAGTGAAACGAGTGAATTTTTGGCCTAAGTGTTTGGTATGCAAGTGAGAGCTGTCTACTGTTTGAAGTGGAATACTATTGTACTGAAAGTATCGGCTCGTGTTTACTTTGGGCTGAATTTTGGAAGTGTGAGAATTGCTTACTGAGAATATATGATGCGTATGCCTGCCAAGTGGCTTAGGACAACAGCAATATTCGCTCAGTTTCAGACCACAATAGGCATTTGAACGCGAGCAATTAAGGATTAGTCCGTGTTCGCTTTATGTAAACCCTATGTCATGTTGATTACTTATCAGGAGAAAGCGAGTATCCAGGAACTCAAGAAGTACATGCTGAAGAAGTGTCCGGATGATACCCAAAGAAAGAAGATGCAAGCCCTTTTCACCGATACCAGCCAAGGTCTAGGTCTAATTGTTCACGAGAGATTTATCAACATACCCGCTCAGCTGGCCAGTCCGATGTACACGGCTTTGTTTGATGAGGTCGACTCGGCGGCACATGATGTATGTGTACTGTACTGAAGTGCTTGTTGTGTAGGTAGATTATATTGCTGGTGACTTATTGATTAAATTCTTACTTGCACGTATCGTTCACATTTGTGTAAGTATATTATATTGCTGGCGACTTATTGATTGAATTCTTACTTGCACATATCGTTCACACGTACGTACTCATCATGCTTGGTATCTTATCCGTGAAAATATAATCCTCACAGGGCGAGCCGTTTAAGTTCGATAATTATCTTTTCATGGCAAAAACTCAACGCCAATCCGCTGAAGAGGATGGAAACGGCAATAAGATTGCACAACCGAAGGGCAAGAAGCGAGCCAAATGGGAGTACATAAATGTAGAAGATGTGCTCTTCGAGAAGGAAGCTGGCCTCAGTTACAGGTATGGTATAGAACACTCGGAGGACGATAAACGTAAACCTATACTCGGCGAGGGATATGTGGATATGGGTCGTCATGTGATGGTGTTATCCGCAGCCAAAGTGGCGTTAGTGATGGAAAGAATGCCCATCGAGTTCCCGGGCCCATGGGTGCGAGCGAGTGATTGGCAGTGGTAAGTGTGGATTTAGTGCAGAGCCCCAGGAATTCAAAAGTAGTAGGTGGAAGAGTTATTGCAAAATTTGTACTATTCACCAGATATTAAGGGTGGCATATACATCAATTAACCAGGCGGTGACACAAAAGTACCATCCCACTGGATGGTCGGGATATTGATCTGAACAGAGCAGGAATCATACTACCCAGATAGCCGGGGGGTGAGGGGCAGGGATTACTTGGTCGCGTTTCTCTGGAAAGAATATGTGCATGCATACACCCCGATGTAGGCGTACGGCGCGGTTGATTATCATCGGTATCAGATGCCTGCAAGAGGATGCGTGTCAAATGGATTTATTTTACGGTGTCAAATGACGTATTTCGTATACCGAGCTAGCGAGTGGGTGATGGCTTTGGAATCAGATGCGTGTAAGAGGATGCGATGGAGCTACATCTGCGCAAAGTAATTTCAGATTGCGGCGATTGATGTGAGCATCCAGCGGATTGGAGAGCGTGAATGTGTGTAGATATGTACGACTTACGAGCTACAGTTTCAAGGAGTACGACTGCTATGAACATAGGTGCAGCAATTTCCAAGAACAATGATGGTATGTCAGAAGCATCTGAGCCCGACTCAGATTGTCCGACATATCTGAGGGCAGTGGTACACATATGACATGGCTGCGCGGCTGACTTCGCTATTTTCTGCTAGGAAGCGTTGCGACACATGCTATTCATAACAGTGGGATTGATCCTTATCCGTGTATCAGTTCACAGTACCTACAACTATACGTTATACTACATTTGACTCCATAAGTGGGATCCATACCGTAGAGTCGTCTACACTGGTACACTGCTCCGACCTCTGGTTCCTCTTCCTGGTATAACAGTCCGTACCTCGGGTATGAACAGGCTACTACACATTTTTCTGCACTTTGATACATATTACATCGATAATGATCAGAGACGCTATTTTGAGCACATACGAGTGTTGTTTGAATGCAAGCTCTTGTTGGCGATGGTGGCCGACCTCACCGTTCAATGTAGAGAAGTATAAATGTAATTTATTGACCCTGTTTTACATCGGATTTCTACTAGGAAGAGCATGTAGCTCGACAGTCAAGTCTAAGGCTTTTACGACGGCCAACTTCGCACCAATCGAAATTGTGTTTAAACAATAGTATTGTGAGGTAGATATTTATTATATTCACTTCCCCGCGTGAATATGATACTTGGGCTCATTGTATCAAACTCACGAAGACTGGACTAGTGCTCGGAAGTGTAGGATTGGTTTTTAGGCACACTCTTGTTTAGTATTTAGTATTTACGCCTTATTCACATACGTGTTCTGGTTTAAAACAGATTTAGAATTCAAAACAATATATCCAGTCAACAATTCACCATGGGGCGCTATGAGGTGAGGCCAGAGTGGATTTAAAAAAGCCAAAGGGTTCTTTTGGGCGTATCTTCTAGGTCATATTTATCGTTGTAAGTTGCAACGCAAACAAATGATCCGCTAAACATCGGCAATTAAACTTATACTTCCATTTGAGTGTCCCATTTATTTTAGTGGGGCCAAATTGCAGGTCTGGCAATAGGCAAACACATCCAAGACTTTTGTCCTGACAACACATTTTGATATCAAATATCGAGACCAAAATTGTTAGAATAGGTGCACTATTCAGGTCACAATATACAGGTCAAATTATTCTAAAATACGTTATAACGCTAAAGAATAATCCGTTAAACATTGAAAAGTCAACTTCTATATTAAAGCATCTAAACGTTTAGAGAGGTTAGAGAGTGACAACTGTACACTGTTAAAGCATTATGTAGTGTTGCACTGTGCCGCCACCTGGACTTTATCTGTTTTCCGCATGGTTTCAAAACAATACGTACGCTATATTTTCACAAATTTGTCAGTCAAGGTCCTGTCTCCCCACCGATAAAGCAATTCGACTTTGTAAAACAATACGGACGCTATAATTTCACAAATCTTGTCAGTTATTCTGTGCCTCCCCACTGAATAGTTACTTAGACTCCATGGCATGACGTAGACTCAAGGACGCTGTAGCAACGCCTTCACAGATTAATGCACATCTAGTTTAAAGCACTACTATATGGAATTATGAATAGCGCGAGCAGATTTCAATACATGCTAAAAATAAATATTGACGATTTGTACAAATAGGAGCATACAACTAAATAGTCAAATCGTAAAGGCGTTTATCATGGCAGCGAATTTCTTGTGAGGTAGGTCAAGGTGTTTATTTCAGATTATTTTGTCACAGAGTAGTGTGCTCCGATACCAAATGGTAGCGATGACAACATGGTAGCAGAGTTCATTGTATAGAACTCGTGAGAACTTGATCAGTGTTCGAAAGTGTAGAATTAGTTCTTAGTCTCGTCTTAGTAAGACTCTTTCCAGGGCTTTATAGTATATGAGTGCTTGTTCTAAGGATACTTGTATTCGCCAATGTAATAGTTGTCCGTTTTGACGTAACATGAGAGACCTCGTTTCTTTGGTACTCCATCTCCCATGAATGCAGACCAGAGTTCACAGCGAACATTTTTAACAGTCTCGAAACCCGTGTACCTTCCATTGTAATCACAAATCGTGTGGTACTAGTCGAGTTTGTGCTCATGCAAGGAGAAGCATTCAATTGTGTGAAATGCAATATCACAGTATTCTATCGGATGAAAGGACTATAATTTATTGTGTACAAATTGACACAAGATATAACAAAGCAGTTCTCACACTGGCCTCTAATTTCGCATCAGCTCGACATTCAATACACAGAGGTCTCAGCAACTCATCGCTAACCCCATACATTTCTGCGCCAGTATGTGTGCGTTTTCCCACCGACACATGCATGTTTCTTGGTTGTCCAGCCACCTGCAAGTCACATCTGTTTAGACCTAGTCGCAACCAATCATCACTCGAAGGCCGGTCATCCGCTTCGTTGCTGGAACGGCTGGCCGTGTGGGTTTCCAGTGCGGCAAATCGCTGAGATAAGCTAGAATTAGGATGCTTCGCATACCCTTCCAGACTATTGTCTTGGTGATTAGTGCTCGAAACACCTATTGATTCGGCAGTAGCCGCCATCGAAAGCTTAGCCTTCTTCTTCGTTGACTTGATATGTCGTGCCTTACTCTGCTGCAGATGCCAGATGGTATTAGGAAGCGACGCAATCCCCACGTTGTGCAGCACCGGTACAACAAGTCCCGTTTGTAGCAACGCACCCATATCGACCGCCAACGACAGCATGTTCAGAAACTGTGTGTGCAAGTGTATGAGGTCAATCTCCGGTCTTGGGATGTTCGGAATCTTAGCACTACCTGATCCTTTTCTCCTCTCCTTGCGGGACTGTGTTTGGTTGTTCGTGGCCGTGGTAGCGCTTACTGTTTCCTGCGCATGCACGTGGGTGCAGTAACTCGCACTTAACAACGCACGCGCCTGCCAGAAGCTCACGTCCACATCACTGTGTGCAATTAGCGACAGTAGTGCTAGTATACATATCCCCTGCCCTTCAAAAACACCGAAATCCCCAGGCCCATCGCCGTCTCTATGTACCCTATCATAGACTGTATCAGGACAGATCTCACGCGGTGCACTCTTCGCATTCGAATTAGCAAGTGTCTGACTGTGCTCTTGTTGCCGCTCATGGGAGGATGCATTTTTTAGGCCATTCTTGGATACAGACGGCTTATCACTCGCGCTCAACCTTCCCAAACCTGCTTCATCTGCATTACTATCATGGCTGTGTATGTATGCCAACTCGCTCAGAAGACTCTCTGCTTTTTTCTCCACGCTTAGAATCTTCATTAACAGACGCACACGAGTTGCCTGCGATCGTGTGTGCACAATCTCCAAGGCACCGCTCATTACCGACGACACACACTCCACCGTTCTAACCGCATTCTTGGCTTCCTCCGCTATGGTCATGGTCGCTTGCTTGTCCGTGAGCATGTGCGTGTGCGGGTGTGTGTCATTGTTCACATTAGACTCTGTATTCATACCATCGTCGGTCTCTTGCGCTTCACATGGTTGTCCAGTTGCAATAGAAATGCGCGCCCACCGCATGGACGACTTGTGGCGCGTGTACTCGTACACAATCGACGGTATATCAGAATTTTGTAATTTTGTACACCATTCTGGTGGTGCAATTGAGTTCTTCTCATCGCACGCATACACAATTGATTGTTGAAAAGGACTTGATGCTTTCTCCGATGGGACCTGCACAGTAGTGCCTTCCCGCTCTTTCAGCTTATTGTTCTCACTTTGGATGCTAGGTATGAATCCTTTCAGTACCCGAAACCAAGCACTTCTAGGCTCACGAGTGCATTCCCACGCAGACGATCGAGTCGGATTCTCAACTCCAATTGGGGGCCAAAAAGGCAATCCTGGATCCAATTTCAAGGTAAAAAATTAACTTTTTGGTATCAGATCATATACAGAACGTACGTAGCTCTTACAGTCTTGTGAGAAACATGAAACCTAAACTATATGATGCTCTCCCGCACCATAATAGCCACCAACTAACATTGTTACAGTACAATATTTCGGCATGGACTCCATGGCCCCGTGAGCGAGACTGGGTCATATAAGCCATGTTCAGACGTGGGAACTGAACTCCCTTCAACGTAGTAACAATGCGCACAAAGAACCTTTTGGTCATTTGTGACAACAAGGCATCACTCTTTACAGGTGATCTATCACGGTTACACATGCGTAATAGCAATCACATTTACGTATCAACTCACCCAAGATCAGCGTTTCGACCGCCCACGCGTTCACCCGTGCGTGCCGCACCAACCCTCGCATACTGCGCGGCAGCAGGTGTAGCACTGAGTAGATCTGGGACTCGTCACCTATAGCATCGGTTGCCATGGTACCGTTTTCCTCACACTGCGAAGTTGTACCGGATATCGCATGTGACTGTGAAGGTGAATGTACCGGCGATACTATATGCTTCTCGTTGGGCTTACTACCAGCGATCGCAGGCGTAGCGCTCAGATGTGATGTTTTCTGCGGCACTTCCTCGCTGTCATCAGTGATAGCCAGCGAGTGCATGAGGGACTCCACTGTATCACACTCGACACTTCCGCAGCACACACCATTACACGTGCACATACCCTCGTTCCCAAGGAACAATCCGTGTCCTTCATCACGAGTGCACACAACTGGTTTGTTGCTATCAGTTGTGCGTTCAGTGTCTTCAGACGCACCGGATATAGCCGCACCCGGAACACCTCTCTGTGATCTGCTACTAGACCCCATACGGACATTGAAGATATCGTCTATCTCGTCGTGTGCCGTATGCTTCTCCTTTGTGCCCGACTTTGACACTATCTGTCGCACGCTTAGTCTCCCTTTCACATCCATCTCCACATCCGTGCACACTTGTGCATTGCTCTCATACGCTCCTTTGTGCTCTAATACCCGGCTAGCCTCGTCTCCCAGATTGTCTTTCAATCGCTTCACCCAAGCCGCCGCAGTCGACGAGACGGCAATGGTGGTAGGCACAGGAGGGGTTGTAGTTCGCGACATGGGGCCTACACGCTCTTTGCGATTGCTGAGCTCTGAGCTCTGTATGCGAGTTTCATGGAGCCCTTCCGAGATGCTCGAGCAGCTAGTTGTATGTTTGAGTCCGTTCTGTGCTACCCCCGAAGTGCCACATGCAATGCAGAACATGTCCTGCGCCTGCTTTGACCTAGTACCTTTTTCAACCGCCTGGTGTGGTGACGTATCTATTGGCACAATGTTGAGCCTCAACGAAGACTTGGTTTGCGCACATGTAGGCGACTCCACTACAGCTTCATATGGCAGATGTGCGGGTAAATTGTATTCGTTCAGAGATGCTGTGTAATTTCTCGACGCCCGCTCTCGCACCCCCACACTCAGTAGGGCCAATGCAACTTGAACCACTATATCACGTGCCGAGTCACTGACCTCCGAATCTTTTACATTCGTACTTTTCATATCTAAAACCCTACTTTGATCCTTATTTCCGTCTACTTCTCCGTCAGCATGGAGACCGACATTGGCTTGACCGCAGGACAGTATGAATGTCGCTACACTCCCGATGACCTTGCCTAGCCTCGTGGAACGGCCTGTGCACGGATACAGCTTGACAATGTGGTCATGCATCTCGTCCGAGATATCGTCATCCACATAGTCTGTCCCACATAGCGCTGCACCAGGCGAGGTAGGTAGAATGTTAGGGGCATATACTTCCAAGCAGCTGCTGGTGTGAGTAAACGGGTATGTAAAAACATATAGGTACGAATTCGCATGGGATGTAAGTGCACGCGTACGCGCATATATATGCATATTTATGTGCTATTCAGGTACGCAGCAATCCTCAGATTCTGCAACAGCAAGACTGCCGAGACTAAGGAGTGCGCTCTAAAACAAACAATTGTACAGTAGGACATGAAAACGTAATGTGACTCAAATAGCCAGAATCGAAAGAAAGAAACAATTATTTGGAACCCCAGTATCTAATCGATGGTTCATATAATACTGAAAAAAATTATTATTTAAGTGGAACCAAAAACATGACCCATAATAGCAAATACAAATGCCTAAGTACAAACAAGTGCATATGTATTATATACATATATATGTATTCTTTCACGCAAATACCACATCCGAAACATCGAGTGCGGGTAGAATACTCCTGAATAGGGAACTCCGTCCTAAAATTTCTGATAGTGTCACGGCTATGCAAATACTCTATACTGAATGTTCGACAGTCCAGATTTATCTTCATGAGATACGAGTATCTGCACACAGCATGGGCATGCACTCAAATACATAGAAATACATAGAACACGCATGCACATACCCCTTTGGGTATAGACTAATACATACTTGCGAGAAGCGGGAGATCGGACAAGTCCAGTCCAAGATGCTTCGCCAGCGTTTGCGGAAAGTACTGAACTCCGGTGACATGCACCTTACCATCAGTGTCACTAGCTGTTTAACGATATACATATATATATATATACAAGCATACTAGTTACCAGGTATATACTTGTTTTAAGTGTGTATACGTGAATAAACTAGGCGAGGATACGCATATGCTATTTAGCGGAACTGTCATCTATAGTGCAGCCCTGAGGTGTAGCCTGATGGGCAGGCGCATATACTGAAACTCATGTCTATGTCCCATACTTATCCTACAGCTGATTGGGCCAGAGAGTCATAAGAATGACAATACAACGCAACTATTTCAGAACGAACACTCATCTTGTCGATACTATGATTCAATTGGATATATACCAAAAGTGACATCTACTAACTCCAATAACAACATAAAATATAGATACACAATCAATGCCAGTAAGGAGTTATGGATGTAAGTAGAAGCCGCAACCAATACGAACAACTTCACTACCATAAACCACGTAGTCACCCCATCAACCTCGAATTATGTTGAAGCAAACCTCGAAATGAACCCGAAAAGTGCCACTGCTGTCTCGACTCAATATCGCAGAAATGTTCGTTTGAAATTACGAAGGTCTATAACAATACAACAAGCCTGAGTCGCTTTCAATACAAGAGTACACATAAAACGTTTGGCCAATTATACGTCCTCGGAAAACATGCCGAGATCACATTTCTGCAGAGTCGATAGCGGTGCTTAGCTATTCTAGACCACCTAGTTCATGTAAAAGTTAATGTTGCTGAACACCTCACCCACATGAAAAGAAACTATCCCATCACTCGTATATATAAAATAACCGAACCGACGAAAAAAAAATGCATCACAAACGTACGTATCTGCAGAGTCGATCACGGCACATTGCTATGACAAACCACGGCGTGTATGTAGATATCGCTATAATAACCGACTATAACGGCCTAATTAAAAGCGCAGCTATTTTTATGTATACTTATGTCTATACACGTAAGAGACGAACCAAAGACTTACAACACAAAATTACCTGCCTGCAGAGTCGAAAGCGACATGCAACCATAACTAAACACTAAGTACATGTAGAAGTCGCTATTACGGCTGCGCTATTATAGCTAAGCACTATGGGCTTACTTGCTGCTCAATGAAAAGTAGATATTCCATACAACGTGCCTATATAAACAACTGAAATGAAAAGCGTAGCAGCACAAACGTACCTATCTGCAGAGTCGACAGCGGCACATAGCCATGACTGATGACCGGGTATATGTAGAAGTCACTGTCATTGCTGAGCACTACGGCGCCAAGCGCAATAGCCACACTGGCCACAAGTCCATCAGCTTCACCGTCTGCCATGTACACGCGCACACTGCTCTGGTCGCACCTGAGCATGTTCCCGCATGCACGGGCACGGGTGTGTGTACGCCTCAAGGTGTGTGGCCTTCCATCTGCCTTTGAATAGGTATCTGTGCTGGCACAATTGATGGTGGTGGTAGGTGTGCTCATGTCAGACTTTGCAGACTTCGTGTATTTATTTCTCTCCCCTTTGGACTTAGGCTGAGGGTGCGCAAGAGTTTCTGTTGATGACGCCCTGACCTCAGGCGTTGCCGTCGTGTCTTTGTCGTGCTTGGTTGTCGGATTGACGTCCTTTTTACAGCACGGACACACTCGTCCTTGGGCGGGAAAGTGTGAGAGTATTGTCTGCACAAACGTTCGCCGGGCCCATACCGGCAGCACGCGACAATTGGCAAACGCGCTCAAATTGACGTCTCTTTGACGCGAAGACACCTTGTTAGCCACCGCTAGGGTATCCCGTAGCTTGTGGTTGCTCCGTTTGACTCTTTCTTTGGCCTTCGACACGGGGGATATCTGTGAAGTGTCAGATAGGAGAGGCATGAGTAGATGGATAAGTTTCCGCCACTACGTAAACAGTATAGACTCAAACTTGATTAAAGAGTGCAGGTACACAATCGATTGATCACCAAAGCACACTGAGTATCGTTCAAGACTATAACACGGACTGAAATGAATGAACAGTCAAATCAAAATAGACACCACTGTGATGACAAATACTGACAATAAGGAATCGCAAAGCAATTGGGGTCCGAACTAAACCGCACCACGAGGTGTACCTGCATCAGTACACTCGCTGCAGCGAATGCAGTCAATGTTATATTGGGGGCGAGAACTTGCATGGTACTTCTGGATATAGAATTAGGTATAGCATATACAAGGTTACGGTTAAAACCGCTTTTATATTACTCGCGGCCTCGGGATAAACTCTGGTTGCTTGGAACATGAGATATACACTGCTTTCACATGATAGACACAAGCATGTACAAACATCTTACTGGAAGTACTACAACGTCATTCGTACCCTATACACCAGTACGATGCTTGCATACGTCCTTCACATATTGGTGGAACCAGAAACTATATACCAGATGGTGGCGGTGCCTCCAACTTTAATTGCAAAAGTATATACCCATTTTGCACACACGTATTGAGTAGACTTCGTGTATGTATTACCACTCTTACTACGGTACAACTGTTAAACACACACGCACACGCAATGCCTTTGAATACTTACCCCGTCCATGACCACGTACACTTGAGCATTCGTCGTCACAAGAGCCGACACAACCTTGATCGTCCGCTTGTGCAACAGATCCGGCGTACACCCATAATCGCACAAATTGCTTGGCGTAGAGCTCCTTGGCTGGAAGAATAAGCGATGCAGTAACGCAGAACCGTCCACGACCACTCTGTGCGCAAGGTTTGAGTATAACAGCTATATAGATAAGATTAGGGGGAAATAGTCGCAGATCTCATGTTACCGAGAGAGAACCCAGCCCGTTCTGCCGCTGCGCGTGTTTTACAACATTAACAGCAGAAAATATATCTATATCTATATCTATATCTATATATATACATACATATATATATATATATATATATATATATAGGCTTAGTTCACGTAAGCCAACAGTTTGTATACATCAAAGTAAGCTACTGTATATGGGTGTGACAATTTAATATAACTTGTAGTCCATTGGGAACTAACCTGCATTCAGTCTTCACAGGTTCTGCCTATATACGCCAGCCCACGCCCTTATGGCTCCTGCAACAGGTTATTTCCCTATGGACACTAGCTGAGCCCTCAACGATGATATCCCTTCTAAATACTGTCGCCATCATCTATATGTTTTACGCTATTTTAAAGTTTACTTTTAAGTTAACTTAATTTCTCATACTCAAATATAGTAACTCAGTTTTATGTATGCAAACTCTTGGCTTACATTAACTAAGCCCTAAGTTTACAACATGCCACCATGTGTTACGTATAATATGCACATTCCAAACTTACCCTCATACATACATGTCCACACGTGGACTCAGTGTCACACGTCTCACACGTCTCACACATGAATCGCAATTGCAATTGTAATATATAT